GTTGAATTCATCAATAATGCTTTTAAAATGTTACTGATAATAACACTCTCTCTTTTGTAACTTTTAATTATAGTTGAAGGTTCGTATCTATTGTAATCGAACTGTTAGTGTTATGTTTATTAATCATTTTTAACTAATCAACAATTTTATGTTAAAAAGACCATGACTGTTAACCTGCTTATTGTTAAATAATGATTTGTTTTACTCAAGTTAACTGCAGCTCTTTATGATAAGCTGTAATAGGGTGTTCTTGCAATGCAAGCTTACTGTATCTATGTAGCTATTTGAATATCGTGCGTAGCATCAAATAAGTGTACATAAATAACGTATATTTTTCATTCATATCTAAAATATAAAAATACGATTACTGTTCTTTGTGACATATTTTCTTATTTCATGTGAATATTTTATTTTATTTATATGGATTACCTGTACAATAAAAGGTGTTACGTATTACAATTTCGAAAGGTCTGAAACCGAGTTAACTGATAAATTTAAATTTAGTAGTTAAATTGTACTTTGGATTTAGCAGTTAAGTAAAAGTCGATATATAGTCGTTTATGATATTTGCCAACAATTTTGATACACACAGTTTTATTTTTAAACACAAATACGTTTTAATATACACACAACAATACCATTTACAATAACAGTTATTACAAATAGTTATTAAAAACAATGATTTATAAACAAAAGTTTCACAATATAAAGTCTTCTTTCTAGTCTGGAACTTCTTCGATATCTTATCGAGGGTTCACGATGAGCGAGTTGATGTAGGTATAATTCACTTGACGGGGAGCTAGCTAGCTTTATCCTTCATTATTTACCAGCCACACACGCCGAGTTTTCCACCGTGATGTTATGTCATTTTTTCGTAAAAATACTAATGTCCAATGAGAATCCGCTGAAGTTAAATGAGTTGTAATGTTCAAACTTTGTAAAGGTTCCTGGTCAAATATCTTATGTTTTCCGATTGATAAGCGTCATAATAATCACAGTTATAGCTTCCGAAGTTCATAGCACACTGATTATAACAAACTAATAATAGATACTCCTCTTTTTTGGTGCGTCGCATTGGTTATACTTATAGGCGTATGGAGGCTCTCTAGACAATTCAGTTTATGTAACAATACAAAGCTACATTTAAGCGTTTACGTACATACATATATTGTTCATTCTTACTCTCGAGAATTTTCTACAACTTTGGAGAATATTCGGGAGTTTCGCAATACATATTTAACAGTACAAGCTATATATATGTTTCTAAATATAAATTTAATCTAAACAAACGCCGATATTAAAATAAATGTATTATGACAAATTTGTTACAAAGAGTTTTTAATCAACTACAAACTAGTAGTTATGGTGACGTCTCATCAGTAAATGATAGAAATTAGTACTATCCAAGGTTCGAACACTCGTTAGGTTATATGTTCCGAATCTTCGAAAGTTTAAGATCGACTCTTCGTTACAGCCCTACATCGCGCTTAGCTACCTATGTCTTTATCACATTTTATTTGGTCAGCCAATAACAGCATTTCAGATAAATTTATTATTTTCTAATAGTAGCTGAATTCATCAACTGGCGAAACAATATTGCTTTTAGTCTGTTGCATATAACTGAATACTACTCTTAACCGCGGGTCGCGGGTTCTAATCCCGGTCCCACAAAACATGCTCGCCCTT